GTTGTAATTGAAGAATTTGATGGAAAAATAAAACTCAAAATAATCAAAAATTGATTGAGAGAAAAACGAGAAAAATAAGGGCATCGTGGTGGTGGTCACCACGGCGATTTACAGTGCTGATCGTGATGGGTAGCTATGGTGTAGGCAGTGAAAAATGGGATGGGGATGAAGGTTGGGATAAGGGGTTGGGGTTTGAATAAGACAATCCCTTTTTTAATTTTTTAGTTTTTTTTCCCCTAAATTTTTTGCTTTTTCTTTTATTTAATGTTGTAATTCTAAAGTTACTATTTTATCCTTATTAATTTGGTCAAAATTGGTTAAAGTTTGTTTTCTTGGTCAACCAACGGTTCTCCAAATACATACTTTTGAAATGTTAGAAATCTTTGTTGATATAAATTAAAGATTAAAATAAAGTCTGTAAAAATTGAAAAGATTAGAAACCGTTACTACAATTTCCCCTTCTAAAATTACTCTGCCACTGTAGGCCACCTATAAAGGGCAACTTACAAAAATATTCTTAAAATGAGAGATCTTTTGAAAAATCATATGATAAGTTTTTTGAAAGTAAAAAATACTGTCTAAAATTAAAAAGTGACACATTGTCAGTTTTTTTATAAAAATTGTAAAAAAAAGTGACACAATGTCATTTTAAAATATTAGTATCACTTTTATATTAAAAAAATGACATACGATCTCATTTTTATTAAAAGGTGAATTTTGTCACTAAAAAAAGTAATAGATATTTCAAGAAAGCAACTGAAAATAGTGACAAATACTAAAAAAAAAAATTGACAATTACTTAAAAAAATGATAGAAGTTTAAAAAATATGACGAATTTAAAAAAGTGGGACAAATTATAAAAAAGTTACATAGATTCAAAAAAATTGACAGAAAATAAAAAAAGTGACACTTTTCCACATTCTCATTGAGCAAACACCTTGCATGCATCAATCTAATTAATTCAAAGTTTCCTTTTCATATGTATTAATATAAAACAAAGCTTGAATTTGTATGTTCAAATTTCACAAAAAAAAAAAAAAAAAAAAAAAAACTCATATACGTCTAGTTAATTACTCCAATGAGATAATGTGATTTTTTTTTTTTTTTTAAAATTTTAAAAAAAAAAAAAAAAAAAAACTCATATACGTCTAGTTAATTACTCCAATGAGATAATGTGATTTTTTTTTTTTTTTTAAAATTTTAAAAAAAAAAAAAAAAAAAAACTCATATACGTCTAGTTAATTACTCCAATGAGATAATGTGATTTTTTTTTTTTTTTTAAAATTTTAAAAAAAAAAAAAAAAAAAAACTCATATACGTCTAGTTAATTACTCCAATGAGATAATGTGATTTTTTTTTTTTTTTTAAAATTTTAAAAAAAAAAAAAAAAAAAAACTCATATACGTCTAGTTAATTACTCCAATGAGATAATGTGATTTTTTTTTTTTTTTTAAAATTTTAAAAAAAAAAAAAAAAAAAAAAAAAAACTCATATACGTCTAGTTAATTACTCCAATGAGATAATGTGATTTTTTTTTTTTTAAATGACATTCACATTTTGTCCTTGAACAAACACATTGCATTTATCAATCTAATTAATTCAAAACTATCTTTTATGTATTAGCATGAAACAATGTTTAAATTTGCATTTTCAAATTTTTAAAAATACATACGTATGCATCTAATTAACTGTTCAAAATGACAGTGTGACTTTTTTTCCTTTTGTCAAACGCCTTATACGCATCAATTTAATTAATTGAAAGCTATTTTTTTCATATGTATTAACATAATCAATTTCTTCTTAAGTTCAACAATGTTATTTTCAAACATGTCCCAATCACAATAGCAAAGTCATTAAAAAGAAACTTCATAAATATCAATTATTTACATTATAAAGTTCGAACACCTAAGAACATTGCCAACAAGCTCCTTACTCCTCATTAGGGAAAATAATAAGCGGCAAATTCTTATTGGAGTCTGGTAGCAAGGTTCTTAGTAAAATCTTGTTTAGAACTTTGCATAAACCAATTGATAATTAGTCCAATGTTATGTTGCTTCGTATTTTGAAACCATGAACTGATCTTGGTGAAGTATCTTACACTCAAAGGACTAATTTATTGCTTCCACCAAGTCTGTCCTTATCATATTCCAACATATTTGAAGAAATGCGGAAACTATCAGATCGAGTAATGCTATCTTTATCTAAGACTCCTCCATAGACTTCATCTTCATCAAGCAGAGCATCAATATCGGGTGAGAGGGTTTCTCTTTGGGAATTTTCTGGAATTGGGACTAATTTGGGTTTCGGTAGTTTTAGGACGTATTAAATACATGGTTAAATGTTTTAATTAGTTAATGGGAAAAAAATCGCATATCAGCTATCAAGTATGCAACAAAGGAATTCCCAAACACTAAGTTTCAAAATTCAAAAGTCAGGTTTCTGTTTTAATTTTAAATAATAATATTATCAAATTAAATTAATCTATCCACACCAACTTTACCAAACAACCACCCCTACCCCCCTCGTCGAGACTTCTTTGACAGCGAACTGAACTCCGTCGATCGATCATCTTCTTCATTCATGACTCAGTAGGTATAATTTAAAACATAAAATTGAAAAGCAGCTTCTCATGTAATTTACATAATACTTACTTGAGCAAATAACTTCAATTCTCATCGTCGGCATCTGATTAATTGAATTTGCAACCAATTCGAATAATTGAGGTTGGAGAAATCAATGGCATGTAACCAAATCTCTTGGATCTATAACATGTGACCTGAGCCAATGGTCTGTGACCAAATCTCTTGAATTCATAACTTATGACCTATGCACTTAACATGTAACTTATGGCCTGATTCAATGGTATGTGACCAAATTTTTTTAATCTGACGTGTGTCGTACTATGACGTGCCCTGTTGCATGTGATAGTGATTTGATCAAATGGCAAGTGAAGAAATCTCTTAGACCTGTAATATGTGACCTAATCCAATGGCCTGTAATTAAATTTCTTGAATCTATGACCTATGCATTTTGACAAGCGATCGGTGCACTTTGATAGGTCACATATTCAAAAGATTTGGTCACAAATACTCAATTGATTGTGACCTACACACCGACACCATCACCATATGTGGACATTGATCTACCACCACATTCCACCATAACCACCACTATAACACTTCACCACACCCACCACTATCGCACTACCACCATCACTACCCAACAACCATGTAAATCACCAATGCCAAAACATCACAAAAACCACCTCCAACCACTACCTAGAGCCCTTTTCTGAAATTAACTAGCTCCACCGTCAAATCTTTTAAGAATAGTAGTCCCTAAAGCTCCAAATTCTCAATCCCTTTACAACACAAAAATATGTGCCCCATTTCATAGCAACCCCCAAATCATGAAACAATCCAACACTTATATGGGTTAAATAAAGAATAACAACCTTCTGGACATTATTTACAAAATTAATTTCCCAAAAAATCATACTCAAATTCCTCTTCAGCTTCCCACTTCTGATCCCGACATTGGCCGTCTTCCTCAATGTCTTTAGATTATTCTCACCAAGAAACACCAATATTTTTCGACGGAACCGACTTTTATCACCACTCTTGGGCAGTGCAAAGGAGGCTTTGACGACCAATACTACCATTTCATTCGCCTTTAGTCAGCTCTTCAAGCGGCTCTTGCGGTGATCTGAATTCCATTGTGCGCAACCTTACTGGCCGAAGCTTCGGTGATGACAGTGCAAGACTAGAAGAGCGAGAGCGGAAGCTAGTGAGAGATTCATTTTACTATCAATTAATACTCGATTTATGTTCAAGTAAACTTAATACTTGATTTTAGAATTGTCATCTTTAAATACCTGCTGTGGTGTAATTTCCACTTAGTTAATAGGGTATTAATCATGAGGAAATTACATAAAACTAGGTATTTAAACTTTCAAATTCAAAATTATGGGATAAAGTTTACTTATACAAAAATCAGGTATTATATATAATTAATCCATCCAATTCAATTAAAACCCTAATCATTTCCCCCATTTTCTTCCCTTATCATATCCCCCCCTCTCTCCCTCTCTCTACCCTCTCCTTCGAATGTCATCGCCGTCAACCTTCCAATTTGTTGCATGAAAGGGTCGAATAGAAACCAATGCAACACAAGATAACTTGGTTCCTGCCACCCTTTTTGCCTCTTTCCCAATTCCTAGCGTTATACAAAAGAAGAAAATCAGTCGCTTGTAGCCCTTAGCTCAATGAATAAGAGTTGAACAGGGCTGGGCTATAATTGGATTAAGAGGAAATTACATAAAACTAGGTATTTAAACTTTCAAATCCAAATTTGAACGGTGTCTTCTATGGTGATGGTGGTGGCTTATTTTTTGTGGCGGCTACCATTTAGGTAGGATTTGGATGGTTCTTTGTGTGGTGGCAGCGATGGTGTGTGTGGTGGCAGCTATGGTGGTTGTTGAATTTGGTGGGGATGCTGTAATTTTTCGGCATGTTTTGTTGCATTTTTGAGGTGATGATGTTGGGTTTGTGGATTCTTTGGTGGGGATGGTGGTTAGGTGTGATGTAAATGGAGATAAAGAAAATGGTGGTGGTGTTATGGCACCATGGTGCTCATTATGGTGGTTGAAGGAAGTGGTGACGCCCAACTATTATTGTGTTGTTGTTGATGATGGTGGTGGTTGTTGCAATGGCGATGACAATGGCGGGTGGGGTGTCTGTGACCAACAATTAGGCATTTGTGACCAACTATTTGGTTGATTTGTAAGTAAATATTAGGCGTCTGTGACTAAAAGATAATTTGTGACTAATAAACTGTGACTTATATTACTCATAGATAAAATATATCCTGTAATTTAAATTATCTGTAACCTATAAAAATATTTATTTGTGACCAAGAAATAATCTGTAACCAATTAATTTGACGATAAGTGACCAGTAAATAAATATATTACCTATAATTATGAATCTGTGACATTAATCATCTAATTGTGACTTTATTATCATTATTTAATAAATATTTTTAATAAATTAAATACATATCTGATTTTTAAAATTTCAAACTATTTACTTGGTTTTTGAATTGAGGTAAGTATAACACTTGAAATGTGATTTTTTTTCCCCATTAAACATTAGGGTATTGGGCCTAATTTGCCTACCTATAAATCTGTTGAGCCGGGCTTGGCCTCTAACGGTAGCCCAAACTTGAATGAAACAGAACAGATATTTCTCAAGTTAGCAAAGCATGTAATTACAAAAGTTTTACAATTGGAGCTGAAAAATTGCCATCTCGAAAAGAATCAAAAGAAAATAATCTGACAAGTAGTTTGGTTTCTTGACTTAAAAAGCAAAGAACTTCTTCTTATTCTTCTTCTTCTCAATGTAGGCCATGAATTCGTCTTGTCGGACAAGGGTGTCCTCAAGAACCTGCAAATTGGACAATGATTTATTATTAGATGAGAATGCTGACATGTTTACACTTAATCACCATATAGAATTACAAGAATAGAGTCCTCAGAGAGTATGTAAGAGTTTGTCTAGAATATGCAGAATTGACGTAATAAATATACATGTGATTTATTCCTATAAGGTAGATGGGTGAACGGTATCAAGTGTTTCGAAAACTATTCCAGCCTTGCCAGTGAGAACATAAAAATGGAGAATCGGTACAGTTAAAACCTAAAAGATGAACTTGATCAACTGATTGTTCAACTGGGACTGAACGCAGGTTGACCGGTTGAATTTCTTCAAAGAAAATGCATTAAAGAACTATTCAGCTTTGATATATAGATCAGTTCGATTTCGAATCAACCCTTTGGCCATTGATACTATACCTTTTTTGAGCCAATGCTCAGGCCTAACTTAAGAAACATTGGGTTTACCATAATATGTATGACATGGCATTTCACTAAGAAAATCGAAATAAGCAGGGAATGATTACCTTTCTCATTTCTGCAAGCTCTTGCTCCAGTCTATCAGCACGATGCAAGGCAACATTCAGCATTTCCTCCTTCTCAGGTGGCATAGCCGACATTTGTTTCTTGCTGAGAAAACTTGCCTGCTCCTCTAGTGCATTCACGCGTTTAATCATGCTCAAGAAATCAGCATGGGAAATAGCAGGATTTGTCTTAGTCGAATCAGCATCATGCATCGAACTAGAATAGAGGGTAGCATCCGTAAGCTTCCTTGGCATGTTATTTGTCATGCGAACCATTGTAACTATGCCCATCATGAAGGTCATTACTCCAGTAAAGAGCTGATTGCTTTGTCCTTCAGATGGCCTATAAGTATCACCGTGCATTGAAAAATAGTCTGTGGGTACAGGTCGGGAAACAGGAAAACACGTGATGAGAATCTTGCCTTGACATACAAAGAGAAACAAATGATCATCCATACGAACAGTTTTTGAAGAATGGAAGTTAAGTAATTATCTTATTCTAGGACACTGCGTATGGTAGAATGAAAAAGACACAATTATTGGACTGTAAGAAGCCAAATCAAACTGACAGAGAAAAGGAAACAAATAATCATCAATATGAACATTTCTTAAAGAATGGGAATATTATTGAGCATTCATACATGTATCAGTTCGCCATAATTTTCTTACTATACAAAGAATTTACTAGTATGTTCTCACTTGAGACAAAGATGAAGAGGCGTCAGAAAAGTTTGCACTCCTCAGCTCCATTATGGGGAAAACCTACAGCTGCAACAAGTGGATGCATCTCTCACGTGGATTGATTCAACTATAAATCTGAGTGTGCTTTGATAGTTTCTTCATTACTTTTGTCTTTATTATAGCTCTCAGAAGTAGGGACAATGATCATTCACGCGAAATTATGAAGATTTTTTATATCTAAAATACCAGACGGCCAACACAGGCAATTTGATCAAAGGAAAATAGTACAAGCTATAAAGCAGTGACACGTAACTTTTTGAGAAAGCAGGATATGGAAGTAGGGACACATTTATTTAAGAGTACAACAATGTACCTTTAGAAAGAGAAGAGTTATCTATTTTCACTGCTTGGGGCCATGTTGCATTGATGGCCTTATTGAAAATTGCAGCACTAGGCTCATGTGGACTAAGAGAGTTTTTGGTTACCTGTAGATAATTTCTAATTAGTTTGGATGAATCTGTATAAATAAAGAGTATTGCTATTTAGAACCACTGACCAGCTTTGGTGACACTAATGTAACATTAAGCTCCCATTCGAGCCCCATAAATATATAATATATTTTCCTCTTCTTCTTTTTAACCACACATTCTCTAATAAAATAATATTACACATGAACAAAAAAAAAATTCCTTCTTTTTCAATCACACATTCTCCAAAAAAAACGCGATTCCAAAAATTATAACATAAAATAATGAGGGCCAAATGAGGGCTAAATAAATGAAATGTACAATTAAATGAATAACTTAATTCCACCTTTAATTCAGGCTATCACTTAGTGTCACTTACACTGGTATTGTAGCGCAAGTTGTGCTAAATAACATTATTCATAAATAAAAGTGAATGTGCTGTGAAACAAAAGGTTAGCGCTGAAGGAATTATTTAAATCATTTACCAAAATCATTTGTTTGAAATGAATGAGGTCACAAAGAAATCAAGGATGACTAAAAACTTTTATGAATCAAGTCAACATATTAAGCTCCTTTTGGTAACTATTCTTTCAAACTCTTTTTTCTCATACTCATTTTCAACTACATATTCTCACAAAAAAATATTCCTCACGTAAATCCAAAATTTTTTCATACTTTTTAATGACACATTCTCCAAAAATTTACTACTAAAAACTCATTCTTTCCAAAAAAAATTTCTGTCAAACAAGGGCTAAATCTTTTGTCTCTACAACATGCTTATAAATCATCTAACATTAGTCGACAAGAATTCACTGCAAATTTCATGATTTGATTGGTGTGTTGGATAAACGAACTTAACAAGAAGCTTATTATTTAAGTTTTGTCTTAACCATAATTCCGACGTGGAGGTATGATTTTTTTTTTCCCCCCCCAGGACCTGAGATGTTCACAATATCATTAAAGAGTGGTGGTAGATTTGAACTCAAAACTTTTGCCTACTCTAATACCATGTTGAACCACCTCGCCTAAAGGTTAAGTTCATATAGAGAGGGCAACCTTTTAATTTAAAAATTATATCTTGAAAACATAGGATGAAAGCCTTTACAACTTACTTCTTCATGAACAGATGAGAGCCGAGGACATGCTATGTTTTCCCTTGAGACACGGAGAGAGTCTGTTCTCAGCTTGAAAGAATTTTTATTCACATTCTCATCCTCTGAAATCATTTTCTCCTCCACAGAGACAGTTTTATTCCCACATTTGTGAGCACCATTACGTACCATCTGTGTAGTTAAATTAATAATAGACTTTTAACATTTTCCGTCAGCCGTAAGAGAGACTTGAACTTTGAATCAGATAGCATAATATTAGATAAAATTAATAACCTTCATAATCTCTGGATCATTCCAAGGACCCTTATCAGAACGCATGCATCCACCTTTATCTGAACAGGTGCATTTACCTCCCAGGAACTCTGGTAGCTCACTGATACAAAATCAAAACAGCAGAGGGCATTGGAAATTTTTTGAAAAAATAGGCCTATTTGGTAGTTAGCATATATAATTATTTAAGTGCATGTTTAGTATACAGTATTATGCGGGACTAACCGACTATACTATAATGAACAAAATTTAAGCTTTTTTTTCTTTCTTACTACTACAATTTTCTAAGCAATGCTCCTTACCATATATGCCATAATGGCACTAATGTCATACCCGATTTTAGATTTCATATGCTCATAACCTAGGTTTCAAATAAAAACCAAAACCAAATGATTCGTAGAATCAACATCCATCACGATACCTAGCATCAATAATCTCAAGCAGTTTGCTCTGAAATTTGTTACCCAAAACCTGGTAAGAAGAAACCTCCCAAGTTGTCACTTTGATGTTACACAGAAAAACAAGTGATTATTTGAGGAGAGCCGAATATAGCTTACATGGATCTTAGCAGTGGTGTTTGGGTCAAGAAATGACTTGACAGTGTTCCATAAAAGCCTAAATCCAGACCCCGCATTAACAATGTACATGCGGCATAAGGTCTAAGAGGGAAGCAAAGTATTGATCAAATGACCGCCAAGATTTCAAAAGCCACTATGAAGTTAGAAAAAAACACAGAAACGAGATATAGTGTGAGAAAAAAAAAAAAGAGAGAGAGAGAAATAAGTACCTCGGGATAGTTATCACCATCAACCTTTTGAAGGCGCTGAATAAGTTCCCTAGCAGCTTTATTAAAACTTTTCAGTCCCTGAACCAAAAATCATGAATTTTATGAACAATGAGGTTCACTCTCATATGGTTTTGATATTCAGGTATTTATACTGCTGAGCATTTGTATTTTTTAAGAATGTAATTTTACATGGTTTTGGTTTAATCGAAAGTGCAATCTGTAGATGTTCAGAAAATATCGACCAATAAAAAGGATACCTTCAATCATCATTTGTCTAAGTTTTCAATTATAAGACTATTTTCACTTTTCTTTGCTATTTGCACCTTCAGCTGGCAAAACTATTTATCGTAACTCGAAATGTAAAACTAAAATAAACACCCCCACATACCACTCCTTGAACATCAAAAATGGTTGTGCTCTGGTCAATGTACTTTTTGGCTGCGATGGAGCAGGCTGGAAACTTATCAATAAACGTCCTTTCGAACTCCTGGACGTGGTACTGAACGTAGCGGTCCATTGTTGTGGCTTGCAAAATCTTGGTTGCATCTACCAGACCAAGTCTTTCGATGTAAATAGGTCTCCCTTCCTTGTCAACTCCATGATGCCCTTGTGGATAGTATATAAGGACTTCCTCTCTCTCCTTGAAATCAAATTCCTAACAAAAATATATACGTGATATGAAATTCAGGTGCATACTAAAATTACGATCTTTTCCCAAATATTTGATGATCAGATATCTCAAATAAAGGATCTTCAGTAAATTTATATCACAAATACCTCCATAATTGTGTCAGAACCAAAATCTTTCCTCCACTGAATCATATCAGACCACATTTGCTTTGTTTTCTCAATATCAAATTTCCTTGCCTTCAAAAACCTGTATCATCACACAAAAACTATACAAACCCGACTGCTTTTCTCTTATCATTTAAGAACTAAGGTCTCTGGCCTCATCGTCGAGAATGTAATTTATGGACAAAACAAAATTTTACGTCAGAAGTTTCTTCATTGCATACAAATTCTGCAGCACGAGCAAATAATAATCTAAATCACCCAATTCAAGAAGTTTTCTTTATCAATGTTGTTAAAACATAAAATATATAGAATTATAATCTTTACAAGATCAAAGAAAAAAATTCAGTTTCTTAAACAGCAAATTTCCAGCCACAAGGTACTCACCAAGCAATGGATAATGAAAATTTGCATCCCTCATGCAATTCAAGTTGCTTCTATTGGACCAAAAAGGTGTGTACATTGCATTTCAAAATCAAACTTGTCTAATTATAGTAGCAGAACAGTTTTATACCACAACACCAGGAGTAAAGGACCATGGAGAATGTGAAACTAAAAAAAATGTTACCTTAGCATCATATGATAGTCATCCTGTTTTCCAGGCAATAATTCTTCCAGAATAAGTTCTTGACGCAAGGCATGCAGAGACTTTAATTCCTCCGGGTCATGTTCATCCTCAAACACAACGGACATAACTTTGCTGCTTCTCCTCCTCCTGGTCAAAGATTGTTTGAACTTTGAAGAGGCATCAATTGCCTTCTTCTTGAAAGACCCAAGCCTTGTCTTCTTCTCATCCTCAGAGTTTCCAATGTTGTGACCTGAAATACATGCAATCTTATTACTCATTGCTAGTTTTATGTTTTTTCTTTCATTTCAAATCATCCAGAGCAAATAAATGCAATACGTGCAAACATGTAAAAGCTTTTGATTGATTATGATGGTCATGACCATGAAGATACCAATTCACATAATCTTCTTAAGATTTATTCTGCTCAAGCCGGTTCAGAATAATATTACCAAAAGTATAATTTTGCAGTCACTGACAAGGATGAGATCCAGTAACTCAGCTAAAGGATTTTATTTGGAGAGATGAAACATTTCTAATTGTTTTTAACATGAAAATTTATAATCAGAATACCAAGAAGTAAATCACATCAAATCAATATTAAGAATAACATTTAAAGAATGAACAACAGTTAGGCTAAAAATGGCAACTGCTTACTTGGCATGGCAGAGCACTCGAGAGACCCTGACATATTGTCACTCGTGATTGCAGTTCGCAAGTTTGATCTAGCAAGACTGCAATCTGAAGACAATCCCAGAAATCACAAACTTGACAAAAGCCTACACCTTTTACAAGAGATCAGCGTTACATTTATTGATCAATAAGCGTCTGGGAGAAATAATAATAATATATTTAAATTTTATGCTTCAACATCTATTTAGCATCACAAACATTTAACAGCTAAATCAACAGGCACACATGTTGGCTTCAAACACTGCCTCTAGATTATCAAACGCTAGATATTGGCGTTATCAAATAAAGCTAATGCCTTGTTTATTTCGTTAATTACAATACAGATATATGGCATTCATAGTAGTTCATGTTAACATATTGAATAAAATGAAAGAAACAAATGAAACATCTCAAACTCTATCATGAAATTACGTATTTCATGTGATTTCATAGAAAAGAAAATACAACGACAATATTATCTGGCAACCGTAATAAGTTAAAAATTATATACATTATGTGAATCAAATAATGCAACAAATCAATATACATGCTACTAGTACATAAACAGACATACAAGCCTATAATTCCATAGAAACGGGAATAGCAATATAATTCATAAAAATCATAATCCATAGGTACAAACACAAATGTTTTACATTACTTTTGATTCACAAATTGGTCGTGAAAGGCCAGATACAAGCATTCATGGAATATGATCATGAAATCAAAAGTTGAACAAATAACAATCATTGCAGTCGTCAGTAATATTTGAATGCAGAGAGAGGGAGGGAGAGAAAATAGGTAGAAATTTACCAGTGACAAAAATGCAGGGTCTGAGAGAGCACGAAAATGAGCTATTTAAAACACAGTCGAAATTTCCTCACAAATTGCGGATCCATACAACAGAACCAATGGCTACCAAATAGCCGTTTACGCCCATTCCCTCTTTCAAAACCACCATTTCCAGGAAGATAGAGGAAAATTCTGTGCGCGATTATAGGAGGGATTCTCTCTTGCTTCACCATTGTTTTTTCCACCATTTTTCAGTGTGCGCGCGAAATTTTTTCTCCGCTTATGACTGAATCTACACCAGAATCTAGCAATTTCTGATTTCGAATTATAAGAAGTTAAAAGGTACAGGAAATTACTATTGAGTCCGGTTCGGTTTCAATTTTTTCAAAACTCATTCTCTCTCGCGCACTTTATCACGAAATAATTACAAGTAAATTAAAAAAATAAAAATAAAAATAAAAAATCATGTTTTCTAATCACACATTCTTCAAAAATTTACTATTTAAAATTACATTTTTTTTTCCAAACTCTCATTAAAATAGGACCCAAACAATGGCAGAATGTGGTTATATTGACACTACATTATAGTTACAGCTACGCCCATTAATCTTTACTCATTATAGCAATTATTAAATTTTTTTTTACAAAATCTTATCTTCAACATTCCATTAATTAGTACATCTCCTTCTTAATTATCAAAATATTTTATTTTCATGCTTTAAAATAAGTAAAAAAAATATTTTTTTCGCATTTTTTATTTATTTATAAAAAATGTGATTCAAAAATAAGTTGTTTTGTGCCATTTCATCGAAATTTTCGACATAAAACTGGTATCAAATACAAAATGAGTTAACTAAACAAACACTTGAGTATAAAATGTTGTGAAAAATTGTTAGCGACATAAATGTTATAATGAGCAACGATTAAAAATTTTAAGTGCAATTAAAATGTAGTATAAGAAATAAAAATTGTGGTGCCCTTCAGATTTTTCTAAGTGAATACTTCTTGGGAAAATTTCACCATGGATCATCAATCCATGGCTCTTTTGATAATTTTATCTTCAACTTATATTCTTAATACAACGACTCTAGTCTTTCAATTTTGTAACGTGGTTGATCAAAAATAGACGGACGCAATATCTGTCATCGAGTATTATTTTAGGGATAAAGCAAGGAAAAACAATTTATTATTCTTCTTTGTTTTCATTATTATTTTTCTGTCAATTTATTAAATGCATGTGTTCCTTCAAAAAAAAAAAAAACCAAGTATGTTTGGTCAAGCCTAAATAAAAAGTAAAATGTCAATTGAATGTAAGTAGAATTTACTTTTAAATTTAAACCACTATTTGATGGAGATTAAAATCGATTTTTCAATAGATTTTAATAAAATGCGTGATTAAAAATTTGTGAATTCCATAAAGTATATGGTTGAAATTAGTTATTGACTATGAAATTAGGAGGCTGATTATCAACGAACTTTTAGTAAAGGGCAAATATGTAAACAAAATAAAAGTTAATTAAAAGTATTAGACAAGCCAAACAGGCAGCAACTTCTTGGTGACACTTTTGGTTTTTATTTATGACGTTGAAAGTCTCTTTATGTTCTCTTTTTTTTTTGCATTTATTTCTGCATTGTAATAATTCTTATCCGGTTGTACTGCATGTATATAATAATTTACATACACATAATGTGGTGATATAAGAGTGGATCGAATCAACATTCTAAAAGGAATGCTTAGGCAACGCCAAGCGTGATGCGTTGCGGAAATGTCAAGCCATCCTTATTACTGGTCAACGATTGCCGTTGACGACTAATGCGTGCCTGGACATGATTATGTGCACTTAGGTACACATTATTATCATTTTCAAAAAATAAAAAATAAATTGTTTTTACTATTCTTTTAATTTAAAGGTTAAAGGCTGATTTTTTTTGCTTCGTCAACCGTAAACTCAAAGCAGCCGCTTGAAGCCATGAACAAAGGAAAACACAAAAAATCCTATTTATTTATCATTTAGTATTTACATTTTAAACTTCTTTTTGTAGAAAATTTTTTAAAAATGTATAAAATTTTTATAAATCTATTTTAGACGTTCGGTAGATATTATTTTAATTGTTAAATGATTTTTTTGATTGATTAAAAATTATAATAATATTAAAATAAGAAATGCCCTTTTTTTTTTTTTTTTT